GGGAAGGAATGCTGTAAAAAGTTATCTGGATATGTTTCTGGAGAAGGCTCAGCTGCATGTGTGTACATCCATGATTTATTCCTCTTTATAAAGAAAGGCTGTGAAGGAAGGCTGTAAAATGTTATCTGGGTATGCTTTTGGAGGAAGCTCAGCTACACGTGTGTACACCTGTGATTTATTTCTCATTTTAAAGAAAGGCCTGCTGTAAAATGTTACCTGGATATGTTTCTGGAGGAAGCTCAGCTGCATGTGTGTAAATTCATGATTTATCTCACTTTTTAAAGAAAGTCCATGAAAGAAGGCTATAAAATGTTATTTGGATATGTTTCTGAAGGAAGCTCAGCTGCATGTGTATAAATTCATTATTTACTTCTCTTTTTTTAAAAAAGGCCTGCTGTAAAATGTTATCTGGATATGTTTTTGGAGGAAGCTCAGCTGCATTTATGTACATCCATGATTTATTTCTCATTTTAAAGAATGGCCTGCTGTAAAATGTTACCTGGGTATGCACGAGGGGTAATTTTAGATGATTGGCTTTAAGGCATTTACAGCATGGGGTGGCAAAAGCTGATAGGCCAAGAAACACTTATAGTGTATTCTAATTAAGAATTAGTTGGCTTCTGATTGTGATGGTGTGAATTATAACATCTGTATTGTCTCACATGAGACTGAAAATAGAATAGTTTTTAAAATGCCTCTCAGTTGCCCATCTCTGGGTCAGAAAAGGGCTCAATCCAACAGCCCTCCTGCCTGCCCAGGGCTGGGCTGCCTGTGTTGGAGGGGAGCTGGGACACGGGGAAGGATGGGATGAGAAACAGCTGGGAGAAATCCTGCTGGACATCCACCTGCTCTCCTTGGGAAAGGCATCTGAGCTCAGGTGCTCAGCCTGACTCCTTTTCTGACCTGTTTTGGCTGCTCTGGGCTATTTTAAATAGATCTGCCCTGCTCTCTTTGCCCAGGGACTGGGATGTGTTGCCCTGCTTGGTGAGGTCCCTGCCTGCCTCGTTGTTGCCCTCATCTCTCCTTTCCTACTGGCAAAAATTTCTTTTTTGGTGGTGATGAGGACTGAGCAGCAGTCCAAAAAACTAAAAAAAATAAAGTTTAAAAAAGGTAAAAATACTCCAGAAAAGGCACAGATATGAGGGATGTGGTTCAGTGCTGGACTTGGGATGATGGTTGGACTCAATGACCTTGGAGGTCTTTCCAAACCTAAATGGTTCTGTGAGAAGTGGTGGATGCTCCTCCATGGGTGGCATCACCTGCCATCCTTCTGTGGACTATTTTCCAGGGTTGTGTTCCAGCACTGGGATCATATCAGCATGGCCAAGCACATAAACCCTGGGATATTCCCACTTGGAAATATAATAAGAAAGCACATGAAGGGAACATGAAGAAAAAAACCTCATCCTACTATTCATAGCTCCTTTAAAAAATAATTTTGCCCTTGGCAGGCAGTTTTTGTTGCCACATTTTGCTCCGTGTTTATTTGTGGCTGCTGGGAGGACAAGGATTCTCGGGAGATGTCATCCCAGGGGAAGGGATGCAGAAATGGGTGTAAGTCCACCAGAATGGAGGAAAAGGGAGATTTGCTTAGCTGTGCCCTTGATTTCCCTGCTGTCTGTGTCTCAGCAGCTCATCTCCTGAGTCCCTGGGTGCGTGGGGGCAAATAATGACTCTGCAGATGCACAAATACAGCAGGAACTCCATAACCCAGAGACTACGGAATGGTGGTGGAGAGGAGCTCTGTTACTCCCACACTTTAGAAAACCTTGGAGACCCTTTCATTCCCTGGAAACTGGCTGTTGCAGGGACTCAGAGTTCAGACTTGTGGCTCTGGGAAAAACAATCTGGATCAGGAAAGCACTAGCAGCAAACCCTTCTTCACTGGGGTGCAGGCACACTCCTGCCACAGCCCTGCTGGCTGCAAACACCTCGTTCCCACCACCAGGTTTGGGTTCCTACCATCCTAGGGATTTTTATCCTCCTACCAACACAAGACAATAAATGACTTTAATTAAACCAGCAAGCTGAAGAAGGCTCTTGTACTTGGGTGGGTGATGTGATGTTGTTATATTGGGGTTTTTTTTTAATGTCTTTTGGCTTTTTTTTTGATGTCTTTACTGGCTTTGAAGCCGAGACGTGCCCTTGCTCTGGTAGTTTGTGTGTTTTGCAGCCTGCAAATGGGTACTTGAGCACCAGCAGCTGCAGCCACAGCCCTGGTCAAACTGGGAGAGATTCTTCCTGTGAATTAAAATGAGATCCAGACAGTCATGGGACAGATTGGAGATCGCCCCTGAGTTTTCGCAGTCTCTGTCCCTTTGGGGCTGTGTCAAGGTCTCCTGTGGCAGCACAAACCCTGCAGAATTCCACGCCGAGAGCGTGGGATGTTCCCAGAGCCTGTGGATGCTGTGGGAAGCAGGATGCCCAATGAGGTACAGGGATGTGTCTCCTGCAGAGACAGAGTTTAGTGAGAGCTGGCGTGGAGATGTGACAAAGGATTGGGATATCCATGGAAAACACACACAGGGCTGCACCCAGAGATGGGAGGACCTCTTTTTTAGTCCCACACATCATCCCCTCCTTATGCTGGGCTCTGCACAATGGCAGCCTCCAAAAACAGTTTTGACAATTATAGAGATGATAACTCAAATTATAATGAGAGCCGAAATGAGATTGCTGGCTATAACAAGCCAAGACCTTGTAATTATCTATTTACCTTTAAAAAAATATTATCTTGATTGAGCTTTGCAAAAATTCAAATGGCAGAAGCGCCAAATTTTAATCCAAAAGTAGTTGTCTACCTTAAAAGCTCTTCCCCAGCCAGACAAAGTCCACCCTGCATCCCCCCTGCTCTTTAAGGGCTTTTCCCTGCCCTTGTGCCTGTATCAGGCCATGTGTGAAAAACACCAGTCACTTGTTTTTTAAATTTTAAAAGTTTGATCCTAAAAAAAAAGTAATATAATTAGAGTAATAAAAATTTGAACAATTGAAATTAGGACAATATAAGACAGTAAAAAAGAGTTACAGACAGTCCGGGTACCTCTTTCTGGGCAAAATAAGCCCAAAAAAGGACCCACATTAACAGAGGATTAACCCTTAAAAGCCTGTTGCATATTCATACAGCTCATACATGATGCATAAATTCCATTCAAACAAAGGATTCTGGCTGGTCAGTGTCAACTTCTTCCTCTGCATCCTTCAGGGCTGAGCGAGGTGGGAAGAAGTTTGTTTCTTCTGATAATGGAGCAATAAATTCTCTTTCTCTGTAAGGTTTAGGTGTCCTGTGGCTGCTACCTGGTGCGAGTCCTCTCATTTAAAAAAGTATCTTACATAGAATAGTTTCTATTTAAACATTATGTTAAAACCTAAAACTATATTTAAGAAAATTAATACAGCACAACTTTCTAACATAACACATACAATATTCATTTTAATATTTGCCAAAAGCCAATCATAAAATACACATTTTTCACAATGTCTCCGTGTCCACGTGCAGATTCCCAGCTTGTGCATGTGCCCAGGCAGCAGGGAAAGCCAGGAATGATTTGATGGATGCAGTTCCAGCCCCGTTTCAGATGTGAGCTGCATCCTGCTGCTGGCACAGCGCAGTGCAGCGGCTGGGGGAGCTGCTCAGGCTCTGCTGAGCTCATCTCAGCTCACAGGGCAGTGAAGGAGACTGGGTGTGCCATCACAGCCTGGGCTCCTCCTGTGTGTTTCCTGCACAGGCTTTCCAGGCTGATAGGGAGGGTCTGGAGGAGCAGGCTGGTGTTTACACAGAGCTGCCTACAAGGGGCAGGGTGCCAGGGTGGTGCCAGGGAGGAGCCCACACATCTGCAGCTCAGCGATTCCCTGGGTGTAATTCAGCAGCATTTACTCCCCTCACGTGGATGGATTTACCAAAAAGGTGAGGAAAAGCTTAAAAATGAAACCCCAGATGTCCCCCAGTGCACAGCCCTGATGTCTCCAGACCTTCAGCTCCTGAAGCACTGCTGGGCAGATGTTTCTGAGCAGGGCCTGAGTGCAGGGGGAGAGCACTTTGCTCACGACTTCTCTGCTGCATGCTGGAAAAAAGGCACCAAACACCTCCCCCAGAACCCCAGCATCCTCCTGCAGGTGGATAAAACCTTCCCTCCTGGAAGGAGCCAGCACACATTTGGGGACACCTTGGTGGCTGTGTCGTTGTGGTGGCAGCAGGCAGGGCTGGGTGACACACAGGGACATGCAGGCATGGTCAAAAGTCAGTGGGGCGGGGATAGAAATATAGAAACATTTCCTGGAGTGCAGACCTTGTGACTCTGCTGCTCGGAGGAAGAGGAAGGTGCTCAGCCCCTCTCTTCCTCCTCCCCAGGGTTCTGCTGTCGTGACAGGGGTGAGGAACTTGAGCCCCACCGAGCCCAGAGGATGCTGTGCTGCTTTTCTGGCCAGGAAAGTAACGTGGATTTTTTTTTTTTTTTTGTTTGTTTGGTTTGGTTTGGTTTGGTTTTGTTTTTGTTTTTTTTTTTTTTTTCTTTTTTTTTTCCCTGTATGGCAAAATGTATAGAAATTAATACAAGGAAATGAAATGCATTGGAATAAATGAAATACTGTATTTATTTATTGAAATTCTTGAAATTCTGTGTTATTTCCTGCTGGAGGTGGGGGTGAGGGTGGGAGGGAAATAAACCACCCAAAAAACAATCTTTGGCTTTCTGAGCGTAAATTAATGTAAATTTATACTTTTATTTTACACCTTAAGACTTCTCTATCACTTTCCTGATTTACTTAGGTAATTTATTTGCAGTTCAGCTTGACAAGCAGTAACTCCTGAAAGTGCTGAACAGAAAATGGGTATTGGAGCCCCACTTTTTCTAGATACCAGCTAGATAAAGGCAAATTAAGTCCTACCTGATCAATTTCCTAACGTGGTGAAAAGCTTAGGAGAGGCTTCCTGTCAGGCAGGGTCTCCTCATGGCCTGTAGAAGCAGGAGGGATTAAGGATTTCTGTCTCACTCCAGGTGTTGGATCTGTGTGTGGCTGCCATCCAAAACTGAAGGGGAATGCCCATCTTCACCTGACACTGATGGCTTATCAGGTAAGCTGGGACGAGTCTGAGATGACATTCACAGCAAAAGCAGCAGGGACACCTCCCTGGGCCGTGAGAGGGGCTGGGGCCAGGCAAGGAAACAAGGATCCATGAGTGCCAGAGCTGTGCTTCTCCCCAGGCCTTGGCTCTCCCAGCTGGCACTGGCACTGCTGTCCTCAGCTGCCCCTCACACAGGACACATGGGGTGTAAACAGCGAGGTTTCACAGGTAATGAAACAGTATTTTCTGTTCGTTAATCAGGTGAAGACCACAGAGCCCTCAAAAGTGCCCCTAATGTGTTTCGTGGGCATCATCCCCCCACTCCAAAGGCACTGAGCACTGCAGATCTCCCATCCTTCTGTGGAGCCCCAGGTTCTGGTGGTGAACCCAGAGCCCTCCCTCTGACCACCTTGGAGCTCCCAGCTCACAACCAGAAGAAGGCCTCCTCCCCTCCCAGAATGAATGAAGCAGAAGTCCTTAACTCACAGTTAAATGATGCTGTGTACTACCAGGACAAAGAAGCTGTGCTGGCGCTGCTGGAGCAAGGGGCAGATGTGAATTCCAAGGTGGACCATGGCTGGACACCCCTGCAGACCGCAGTGAGAAAGGGTGATGAGGAGCTGGTCCGGCTTCTGCTGGCCAGAGGAGCTTCTCTGCACGCCAGGAAGGACAATGGTGGCACTGCCTTTACTGAGGCAGGGATCGCAGGGAACGTGGAGATCCTGAAGCTCCTCCTGGAGCGTGGCTCAGACATCAATGAGCAGGACAACAACGGCTTCACAGCCTTCATGGAGGCTGCGTGGTACGGGAAGGAGGAAGCCTTGAGATTCCTCTACAGCAGAGGGGCAAAGGTGAACTTGAGGAGGGAGGCCAGCGAGGAGAGAGCCAAGCTGCACAAAGGAGGTGCCACAGCGCTGATGGACGCTTGCAGGGAGTGCCACTTCTCAGCTGTGAAAATCCTGGTCCAAGAGATGGGGGCTGATGTGAACATCCGTGACAACAGAGACAGGAACGCCCTGATCCACGCCCTAAAGAAGGACTCAGATAAAAGAAGGCATGAGTCACCTGTGCCCATAGTTAGTTTCCTGCTGGAGCACGGTGTGGATGTGAAGAGCAAAGATGAATGTGGGAAAACTGCCCTCATCCTGGCTGTTGAAATGGAGAGCCCGGAGCTGGTGACAGCTTTGTTGGAGAAGGATGAGATAGACATTGATGATGCAGATGAGGAAGGCAACACAGCCCTGATGGTGGCTGTGAACAAAGATAATTGCAGAATAGCAAAGCTGTTGTGTGAAAAGGGAGCGAGGACTGACCTTGGGAACCTGATGAGAGTTGCAAGGAACAATCGCTCTTCCAGCATGGAAAACCTTCTTCGTGAGCACAAGGTCAGGCTCGCCCCAGAAACCCCCAGAGCGTGGGAGCCAAACAGCAAACGCTGGAGGGCCCAGCTGAAAAAACTTGATCAAATGTATCGCCCCATGATTGGCAAACTGAAGACATTTCCATACTTCCAGCAGAAAATTCAGGATGGCATCTACCTTGGGCTCCACGGAGGGACAGAGGTGGCAGTGCAAATAACCTGCAGCACAGAGGGTGACAAAGAGAAAGAGTTCCTTGAAAAATGTTCTCACAGCGAACATCTACTGAAGCTCTTCCAGTCTGAGAAGGAAAAAGGCTGCATGTACTTGTGCTTCCCACTCTGGGAGAAAAACCTCCAGGAGCACCTGCAGGACCCTGAAGACCAGAAGGATTACAAAGCTGCTCTGAAGATCATCTTCCAAGCACTGAGAGAGCTGCACTCCCTCGGATTTGCTCACCAGGATCTACAGCCCGGGAACTTCGTAATAGGTTATGTTTTGCTTTCCTTATGTTTTTGTTTTGTTTTCTTTGTGTTTTCATTTCTCTCTCCCTGAAATTTAGAGAAGGTGCCTCACAGCTGTCTGTAAAAGTAGAGATGGCTTTGTGCTGAATGGGGTGGTTTAGATCTCCTCTTTAAATAAGTACAAATCGGCCCACAGAGAGAACAAGCTTGCACATCCCTTTAGCTCTGCAGGCTGACCAACACATCACAGGTGCCTCCAGAGAACTGTTTTTTAAAGAAGGGGCCATCCAGAAGTCAGCAATGGACCGTATGAAGGTTTGCCACCTTTACTTGCTAACAATTTCTCTTATTTCCCCAGATTTAGGTGGCAAAATTTATTTGGCGGACTTCGGTAGTAAAAGAAGGTTGATTGAAGGCCAAGAAGAATTTGTAAAGTCAGATTTACAGGTAAGCTCTCTGTGAACCAGCCTGTGGTTTAAAATGTTGGGTGCTCTGTAGCTGTGGGTCCTAGGGAAAGGCTTTTTGCATTCCCAACTAGAAAATGCTTTGATTTGTGGGGAAATCAGTGTAGGGACAGATGTTGCATAGGAGGGATGTTGATTTGGATGCCCATCTCCTCTGTCCTTGTGCACACAGCTTCGAGGTTTGTACTGGGTGCGTGTCAAGTCTTAACTTCTTTTTGCCAGGGTTGGGATGAAATGTGTAAGATGGTATTTCTTGTTGGGACTCAGATGTTTGTTAGTTCTTATCCATGTCACAGTCTCACAAACCCTGAGTTCTACAGCACTTCACTCTAACAAACTAAAAATGGAGCCCTGTCTCTCTCTCTCTACAAGGCCTTTTAAGGATAAACTGTCCAATTAAGAAGTGAAACCTGAATTATTTTCACTTTTAACCCAATAGCCAACCACCCGTGCCTGCAATGTGGACTTTTTTATCCAATTACACAAAACCACCCAGACCCATGGAGAAGAAGGTGAAGAAGAAGAACCAGCCACGACCCTAAAACCTCCATCTTGCTTTATAGATATTACTATATTCTAGAACCTTAAACTCTAAGTTTTCCACCATGTGATATTGTACACTTTTAATCAAACTCCACACCAACAACCCCAGTTCTATCATTCCATTTTGGAAACCTTCTCCATGGCCTCAGGTCAATGCAGAGTTCTCTTGGGGGTCAGAGCCTGTCAGCACAGAAAGTCTAAAATTCTCAGTAACCAGGGTTCCAACAGGTGTGTATTTTACACTTCTGGGCCCCTGCAGGATTTGGGGATACCAGTCCTCTTCCATTGGGCTGGAGGCTGGGTGCCTGTGGCACGGGAGCAGTGATGTCTCTTTGCAGGCCCTGGGCAGGCTCGTGCTCTACATCTTAACAGAGGGTAGGAAACCCCTCCAGCAAGTTGGAATTGAGGATTTGGCTCCCAATTCCCCAGATTACACAGAGGCTCGGGACCTTGTACAAAGCCTGTTCTCTCCTGATGAACGAGGCTTGGAAGGGTTGAGCAAACATCCCTATTTCTGGAGCAATCAGAGGTAAGGCCTGGGAGTACAAAGGAGGTGGAATTCTGGTGGAATTGCCTGTAGTGCTGGGAACAGTTAGGTGCCACTGCAGCTAATGAAGCTTCTCATCCCACAGCAGGTTCAACTTCCTGAAGAGTATATGGAATAAAATCAAAGATGACCGAAAAAGAAAAAGTATTTTTCGAGATCCTAAGGCTTTTCCTTATCCACATTGGACCAAAATGGTAATCCTCTTCAATTTGGATTGGTTTCAGGTTTGAGCTAGACATTCAGGCAGAAGATTTTCTGAGTGTTTAAAAATGGAATTGGAAAAAGTAGCCCTACACAAAATACACACAACTGGAAGAAACAATTCAGTTGAAGGCACATAGTCAGAAGATGCTGATGCTAAAGGGAGCTCTGCTAACTGGAGTGGTAAAAGGAGTTGCTCATTTTTGAATTGGCTGGCAAACTTTCAAATTCTATTGGTTTTTGGGGGGTGTGAAAGGCAGGGAATAATCTGTGTGATTTCCTTCAGATTGACAAAGATGTTTTATATGTCATGGAACACCCCAGGAATGCAAAACCTACCAAATACGGAAATGATGTCACCCAACTCCTGAGGCTCATGAGAAACATGGATGAACACAAAGATGAAGGGTAAGTGTTCTCACCCTTGCCCCTGCCATAGTCAGAGAGTATCCTGAGCTGGAGAGGACCCACAAGGATCACCAAGTGCTGTCTTTGCCCAGGACAAGCCCAAGAATCCCTACCACGTGCCTGAGAGATCTGCCCAAGATGAAAGTGAAAGGCACATGGAGGTGCTGGAGGAATAGCCAAAAAAAAAAGGGAAAAAAAAAAGATTGAGGAGTAGAAAAATTGCAGCTCTGGGGTTTCTAGGAAACATCTCCAAGTTATCAGAAAGCCTCCCTGGAATGGCTTTTTCTCTGCAAGGGCATCCTCGAATATTGACCCTTTGGACAAGCTTTAAAAATCCTGTTTGTTTTTGTTTTCTTTCAGGATCACCAACAAAATAGGCGACTATGCTGAGTATTTCCTGAAGGTTTTCCCAGAACTCACCACCTATGTGTACAACAGCTTACGGCAGAACCCCACCTGCAGCCACCTCGCAGACTTCCAGGAGCCTTCTCTGTAGGATGTCACTGCCTCCCGTGCCATGTCTGATCCCACCATCACTCTTTTTATTTCTGACTTATTCACCTGCAGAAGAGCTGAAGAGGTGGGTAAGGAGTTGGGATAAAGCACACCCAGGGACAGAGTACGGAGGACTTAAATTAGGAAAGATTCCAAAGAGTTTGGTGTAACAGCCATGAGCTTTGGATGCTCTGATTTGCACTGTGATTATATGTTGATTATGGAAATATGTTTCAGGTGTTGAAAAGGTTGTTTTTTGTGGGGTTTTTGTATTTTTGGTGGTTTTCTGGGGTTTTTGTGTTTGTGGGTTTTTTTAGGGTTTTTTTTGGTGGTTTGTTGGTTTTTGTTTTGTTTGTTTGTTTTGTTTTTGTTTGTTTGTTTTTTGGTTTTTGTGTTGTTTGTTCCCACCCAAACTGTTATTCTTTCAATGACCCCATGGAGAAACAAACTTGAAATAAACTTGAATAGAAAACTGACTCTATGCTCCTTTAGGAACGAGGTTCCCCCATCCCCTCTGCACATGAAGGGAAGTTCTGCAGCACATCAGTGCTCCTGCCTTGGAGCAAAGGTCCTCCTGAGGGTCCTGGGAACCTTTAAAATACATTATGGAAGTATGACTACACAACTGATGATGAGAAAATGCAACCTGGAGAACGCTGACTCCTCTTGCACCAATATTTTTGGGTTTTTTACCTTTCCTCCCTGTTTTTTTTTTGTTTTTCTTTCTTGCTCACTGTGCCTTTCTCATGCCCAGAAGGCAGGAGGACACCCAGAGATGCGTGCTCAGTCTCAGCAGTGGGGGGAGCAGGGGGCTATGGGGTGCCCTGTGCCATGGCAACATTTCTGCTCTTGCATGAAGAGAAGTGAGGCCACGGGCTGGGCTCCTCCAGCCTCCTGTGAAATGCCACATTTCCTGCTTTCTGTGACCTTTGCAACTTCTTCCATCACTGTGATAATCCACTGAAGGGCTGGGTCAGGATAGGCATATGAGCCTGCACTGTGGCTGAGGCACTTTCCTTAATGGTGAGAAATGAGTGAGTTTTCCATTATGACTTCTTTTTGTCACTGTCATCTACAAAATACGCTGTGTTTAAAAGAGATCCATGCAAATATTTCATTAATATGCTTTAAACATCACTGCATATTGTCCCAGTATGAAGAAATAATGTCGGGGCTCTGTTTTGATCAGAATTTTCCCTTGTGGGACATCTTTATTTTGGTCCTACGTAGAATCCATCCCCAACTAAAACCCTTCAAGGACAGCACCTGAGCTATCTTTAAAGGGATTTGGTGATTCCGTTCCTGTCCCCATGTCATTGTGGGGAGAATCCTGCTGTGGCAGCAAAAGGGCACCCTGGCTGGGGAGGCACTAAGAGTTGGCACAAGTTTTTGTTGTTCCTGCTGTTCCACAACAGGCAGCCTCAAAACAGAGCAGTGATTAAACCCAGCCAGGCTGTGACTTATCTCTCTGGCTGGCTCCTGTGCTCTGTCCTGGTGTCAGAGAAGAAACCTGATCCATGCACAGCATCAGCAGAGCAGGCTGCTCCTGGAGCACCGGTGCCACGGCATTCCCCAAAAAAGCATCTTGAAAAACACACCTCGGGGGCACAGACACATCTGTGCTCACGCTGGGTCACTTCAGCTCTTTGCGTGGGGCTCCAATGAGAACTTTATGAGCTTCTTCATCAAAAGTGTCCAGGGCTGAAGAGCCACTCCAAGAGGAAAAGCAGAGGTTTATATATGGATTTTGAGGGGTGGGGCAGAACAGCAGGGCCAATGGGATGAGGGCACAGGGATGGAAGGGCCAATGGGATACACTTAATCTGCATGTCACAGCAAGGCATGCTGGGAGAAGCCTTTTTCCTCACCCTAACAAGGTGGTTATGGCTTGAGGGGTTTTACATCCAGGGCAGGGTTATGGGTTTTTTCACACATGGCCCATGGGAGGAAGGAATGCAGGACTGGGAGCAAGGCTGTTGGTCTCTTGCTCCAGGCAGCACTGACACAACCAGAGGACAGAGCCTCAAGCTGCACCAAGGAAATACAGGTTGGATATTTAAAAAAAGTTTTTCACAGAAAGGCTGATAAAGCTCTGGAATGGCTGCCGGGGGAGGTGGTGCAGTCACCATCCCTGGGTGTGTTTAACAAAGCCTGGATGTGGCACTGGGTGCCAGGGTTTAGTTGAGGGGTTGGGGCTGGGTTGGACTCAATGATCTTGGAGGTCTCTTCCAAGCTGGTCATGCTGTGATCCTGCGAATTCTGTGAAAAACACCAGGCTGCCTCTCCCAGGAGAACGGGCCAGTGAGACACCAGGCAGGACGGAAAACTGCCGGGCAGCGCTGCAGCTGGTGGTGTGGCAGTGTCTGGGGCACAGCCCGAAGATGGAGCTGTCCTGGGGAGCTGGGGGCAGAACCAGCTGCCAAAATTAGTGCTGTGGCATGTCCCAGCAGCAGTGCCCACCTGGGAGGTGCTGCCTTTTCCTCAGGCAGGTTTGCAGCCCACAAAGGGTGCCCGGGAGTGTGATTTGACCCCACACGCTTCATTGCCCTGCTGTCCTGCCTGCATTTGCTGTGCCTCTGCCTTTTTGCTCTGCTGGGGCTCCCCAGGACAGCTGGCTGAGCCCAGTGATGGGATCAGGTGCTCCCTGTCCTGGCTCTTGCATGCTGAGGGTGTACATGCTTGTGTGCACAGGGATGCTCCCAGCTCCCCGTGGCTCATCTGCTGCTCTGAAAAACAAACGCACAAAGCAACCCACAGAAGCAGTGGAGTGAAGGCTGTTCTGAGGCTTTGGTTTTGCTGTGCTGAGCTTCAGGCACATCTGCGAGGCTTTAGAGAGCCTGGGCTCAGCTGGGCTCGGGAGTGTTGGTGAAAAGCACACAAAAACACAGCAAGGTTTTGAGGCTGAAAGCTTTTGGGGCAAAATCAACTTCCAGAACAGCAGTTTTGAGAGTTGGTCACATTTTGTGTTGTAGGAATGGTATCAGCTTCCCAGGCCCTTCAGTTCAATAAATGTTCTTGGGTTTGGGTATTTTTGATCCTCCAGAGGCAAAGTGTTGATAATCAGAACTCATAAATATGAAACACGTTGTCCTCTGCCTTAAAATGTACCTGGTGTTATTCCCAGGATGCATTCTTCTAGGATCTGGGATTAAAAAGTGGACAAAAATAGCTCAAAATGACAAAGCTGAGAGCTTGCCTCTGACAAAATGATAAAGGTCTTTTCTTCACAAGGTCCAAAGAATATTTGTGGTTTCTGCAGCTTCCTGGTGACTTGGCAAAGTCACTTTGACTCAGTTTCACCTGGGGAAAATGAAGGGTCTTGCTATGATTTGGTTAGTGCTTTGTAAACACACACTGGCTTAAAAACAACCAACAAAAAACCAAAACCTCACCAAAAAAGCATGCTGAAGCCCCAGTCAGGCATGAGCTGATTTTTGCTGGAAGATCAGAAAGGCTTTGGCAAAAAAAGGCCCCATCTCAGCAGCCAGCTGAGTAAGTGAACCAAATGGGCTCTCACAGGAAGTATTTCATTTGTGCGGGAAGGTGAGGAGCTGCATCTTACAGATGCACGTGAGGAGGGAGATTTGTGTGGTGTTTCAGCTGGAAACATGTCACAGCACGTCCCTGCCATGGCTGTGAGCTGTGAGCTGCTGTGCTGTCACCAGGTAAGCTGGAGAATGCTGTGAGTTGCTTTATTTTTAGGTTTCTTATTGCTGAGTGCAAACAATTCCCTGTGTCCAGGCTGCTCAGCTTCCTTGGATCACACCTGTGTGGGTGTTGTTTTGGGAGGGCTGAGATTCCCTTAGGTCCTGCAGGGAAGGGAGAGGTGCTGCATCAGTGGCTGGAGGCAGGTGAGGGTGATCAGGGACCAGCACAGGGCTGTGTGTGCCCAGGGAGGAGTTCTGGGCATCAGGGAGGCTCCCAGGGAGGAATTCTAGGCATGGAAAGGGTGAGCAGGGGTGAGCACATGGCTGTGTGCTCCTAAGGAGAAGTTCTGGGCATGGAAAGGGATCAGGGATGCTCCTAAGGAGGACTTTTGTGCATGGAGAAGGATCAGGGATGCTTTCAGGGAGGAATTCTGGGCATGGAAAGGGATTAGGGATGTTCCCAAGGAGGAGTTCTGGGCATAGGGAAGGAGCAGGGATGCTCCCAGGGAGGAGTTCTGGGCATGGAGAGGGATCAAGGATGCTCCCAGGCAGGAATTCCGGGCATGGAGAAGGATCAGAGATGTTCCCAGGGAGGAATTTGGCCATGGAGAGGGATCAGAGATGTTCCCAGGGAGGAGTTTGGCCATGGAGAGGGATCAGGGAGGAGTTCTGGGCATGGAGAGTGACCAGGGATGTTCCCAGGGAGGAGTTCTGGGCATAGAGAGTGATCAGGAATGCTCTCAAGGAGGAGTTCTGGGCATGGAGAGGGATCAGGGATACTCTCAAGGAGGAGTTCTGGGCATGGAGAGGGATCAGGGATGTTCCCAGGGATGAATTCTAGGCATGGAGAGGGTGAGCAGGGGTGAGCACATGGCTGTGTGCTCCTAAGGAGGAGTTTTGGACATGGAAAGGGATTAGGGATGCTCCCAAGGAGGAGTTCTGGGCATGGAGAGGGATCAGGGATGTTCCCAGAGAGGAATTTGGCCATGGAGAGGGATCAGGGAGGAATTCTGGGCATAGAGAGTGACCAGGGATGTTCCCAGGGAGGAGTTCTGGGCATGGGCAAGGACCAGGGATGCTCCCAGGGAGGAATTCTAGGCATGGAAAGGGTGAGCAGGGGTGAGCACATGGCTGTGTGCTCCTAAGGAGGAGTTTTGGGCATGGAGATGGATCAGGGATGTTCCCAGGGAGGAGTTCTGGGCATGGGCAAGGACCAGGGATGCTCCCAGGGAGGAGTTCTGGGCATGGAGAGGGATCAGGGATGTTCCCAGGGAGGAGATCTGGGCATGGAGAGGGTGAGCAGGGGTGAGCACATGGCTGTGTGCTCCTAAGGAGGAGTTTTGGACATGGAAAGGGATTAGGGATGCTCCCAAGGAGGAGTTCTGGGCATGGAGAGGGAGAGCAGGGGTGAGCACATGGCTGTGTGCTCCTAAGGAGGAGTTCTGGGCATGGAAAGGGATTAGGAATGTTCCCAAGGTGGAGTTCTGGGCATGGGGAAGGACCAGGGATGCTCCCAGGGAGGAGTTCTGGGCACAGAGACGTGCAGCAGCTGGGAGTTTCTGTGACTGTCACTGGAGATGCTGGGGCTGCCCAACAGCATCCTGCACCAACCCCTGTGATGTAAGGCTGTGCTGGTGGGGTCTGGAGGAGGCGAGCACCCCTGGGACCACCTACCCAGCCTGTGGGGCGGGCTCCCTGAGCGAGGGCCTCTTCTCCCCACCGGGATCTGCAGCTGAGGGGAACAACAGCACAAAGTTCTCACCAGGGCTGCTGCAGGGAGCCCTCCAGCCCAGCTCCCGTGCCCACATCCCTCAGGAGCAGGAGGGCTCCATTCAGCTCCATGCAGTGCTTCCTCACCTTTTTTCTCCTCTGGAGGCTCCGTTTTCTTTGGGGGCCGTGGCAGCAGGAACTCGAGGCCTTCTGACATCGTGTAGGTGAGGACAGCCTTTTTACCTGGTGAGGGAAGAGACATGGAGTGCTCTGATGGCAAAAGAGGGGGGACAGCACTGGTGTCCCCCTCCAATCATTTGAGGTCACCCAGAGCATAAGGAAGGGTGGCTGAGCAAGGACTTGAGATCTTGATGGCAAAACAATTTGGGGGTGACATGTCCCACCCTGGCTGTGTGGCAAGGCTGGGTGGCAGAAATGGGAGATTTTATTTTTTTTTTTTAAATACAGGCTCATTAGGAGGTTTGTCCTCAAATTTCTTTGGATACTCTTTACTAATTCAGCTTATGCATTTCTCACCTGCCAAGCTGAAGCATTCTGAACCACATTAATGGATGATTGCGAAAATAAACTGGATTTTTTTTTTTTTCTAGAAAAAGAAAGGTGTGCCAGGCTTTGTGCCTGCCTGGGCAGCTTGTGCCCTGTGGACAGTGCCACAGTGACGCCTGGTGATGGCAGATGGGTCCCTGCCTGCCACCACCCAGCCCTGCTCAAACCACGTCTGCACATCCCTCACAATAAAAGAGAAGGAGAGGAGGTTTTTTTTCTGCATTTCCAGGCATTTTCCTCAGCGATTTTGGTGCTTTTTAAAAGGCAACAAAACATTTTTTTTTTTTTTTCTGACAGCTCAAAAGCAAGTTTTTACCTTAAAGGTTAGAAAAGCAAGACCCTTAGAGAAAGGTCATTGGTGGAAGCATAAGGTGCAGAAAAGTGTCTTGGGAGCTGGAATGGACATCAGCACAGTCAGAAACAGCAGCTATTTTGGGTCACACATCTTCTCCCCCACATGCCAGGCAAGCTGAGGGATTTTTTCCTGCCTGGCTCCTGTTTTCCTCCTGTTTTCCTCCTGTCTCCTGTTCCTGTTTTTTCTGACCCCATGTCTCACTCTTCCCTGTGAGATGCAGCAAGGAGAGGTGGCTTGGGGAGTGTTGTCCAAGGGACAGTCCCTGTGGGAAAAATGTCCCTTCTGGAGAGATCAGAGTCTTTTCCAGGTGTCCAGAGCAGCTCCCAGCACAGTCACTCTCTGTGGCTGCAGTTAAACACGGGCTGTGCTGCTTGGGACTGCCCCAAGCCTTGCAGCAGTTTGCACTGATTTAAACACAGAATAATTTGTGTTGGAAGGGACCTTTCAGGGCCACCTAGTGCAGCCCCAACACCTTCCACTAGACCAGGTTGTTCAGAGCCCCATCCAACCTGATCCTGAATATTCCCAGGGATGGGGCTGCCACAGCTTCTCTGGACAACCTATACCGGTGTTTTACCACCCTCTAGTGTAAAAAACGACTTCCTATCTCTGATCTGAATCGGTTTGAATGTCACTCTCTCTGCTCCCTGAAGACCCTGGCAAACACTGTCCTTGTCCAGGATAACTGCACTGTAACACAAGGTTTCTGGCTTATCACCAGTTTGGAATACATGTGTGATAGATGAGGTTTTTCTGGGGTTTTTTTGGTGACTTTTGCATTAAAACAACTACGTTTGAGAAGGTCCTGGAAGACCTATGTAACAAGGTGGAGACCCAAGCTGGAGACTGGATGTTGTCCATGGGAATAGCCAAAGGGTGAGGTGGTTGGAGCTAAGGACATGGCTTGGCATTCCTGGGGCACAGGGCTCTGTCTCCTCAGCCCTGCTGTGGAGCAGGAGCTCAAGCACCTGCCTGGAGGCATCCAAATCCTCGAACTCTGCTGCTTTTTAGCCAGAGCTTGACAGTGATAAATGACAGGGAGCAGAACAGCAGCTTGCTGACACCCACTCATCCGTCAAAGCAAGATTAGTATGTGCCTATTTTGGTTTCCCCTTTAATCAAAAATCAATTAGACAATTTCCAAATGAATATTCAAGCCAAGGAGCGGGCTGTCAGGCAGACTGACAGCGCTCAGCATCACTTTGTGTTTTCCAGTTTAGAGTTATTCAGCGTATCAAAACTAAACAAGGGGATGAGGAAGAAAAAACATCTCTTTCCCTGGAGATGTCACCTCAAACCCTGATGGAGCTTATTCTCCATTCCAGATATTCAAAGCACCCTCCATGGAATGCCTGGTGTTTGGCTGCACAGTTGTTCTCCTTTTCCTGCTCCCATTTGACTTGCAGCCCAAAAGATTGCGGGTTTTTATTTCTGTTTCAGGGGGTGTGCCTGACTATTTTTAACTTGGCTATTGAAATAAATAGGAATTATGCAACAGCTCTTTGCATGGGAGGTCTCTGTGCTCACTTCCCTATTCACCAAAGAAAATTTCTAAAATCCTGCTGGACAGTTTTGAATGATTTTGACAGAAAAAAAAAATTCCATTCCGTTTTCCCAGCAGGCCTGCACCACATACACCCTCAAGGCTGTGTGAAGGAGGGGGTCTTTCCAGGGCAACCTAAAAGATGTCAGGTCTGGGTGTTCCTGCACTGGAAGAACAAACCTGGACTATAATGTGTAGCAGAGGGAATGGCCACCATCTTCTTGGGCCCGGGTGTCTTGGGTGCTTTGGAGGAGCTTTTTCCAGGAGGTGAAGAGGCCGGAACCCTGCCCTCCTTGCGGCCCCGGGAGCTCCTGCTCCCCTTGGGCTCTTGAGAACTCCTCTCCTGCTGTTTGAACTGGGATCTCCTGCCTCCCTTGGGCTCCTGAGAGCTCCTCTCCTGTTGGACCTGGAATCTCCTGCCTCCCTTGGGCTCCTGAGAGCTCCTCTCCTGTTGGACCTGGGATCTCCTGCCTCCCTTGGGCTCCTGAGAGCTGCTCTCCTGCTGGACCTGGGATCTCCTGCCTCCCTTGGGCTCCTGAGAGCTCCTCTCCTGCTGGACCTGGGAGCTCCCGTCCTCCTTGGTGAGCTGAAAGCTCTCCTCCTCCTGATGGGTGCTAGAGCTCATGACCTCCTGGTAGGCCCGAAAGCTCCTCATCACCTTCCAGGTGCAGAACCTGCATGAGAAACACCGGGGACAGTGGAGCTCCAAGGAGACAATTCCAGCTGAGCTCCTGGGGAGCGTCTCGTCTGCATTTTCAGCATGGCAGGGGAACAAGTGGCTGGAGATAAAGGGTGGCATTCCCAGGGCCTCCTCCACCTTGGCAGAGAGGGGATGGATGGCTACCTTCTCCAGAAGTACATCAGGATGGGGAAGAGGGCGACCTTGGCGTTGTGGTAGATGGCCCGGGTCAGTGGCCCCTTGGAAGATGAACGCCAGATTAAATCCCTCTCTTTCTCAGAGATGTTGACCTGGGCACAGAGGAGACCAAAGCACTTTGCAGCACTCCTGATGGGGCCAGGTTTCTCTCCCCGACCCCACCTCAGCAGTCTCTAAGCAAAGACCCAAATTTCATCCTGGCTGCTTGCCCCGGCCACAAGGGCAGGATCCCACCTGGATTTCTGGGGAAAGCATTGTGCCCTCCAAAGGGGAGATGGCAGAGCTACTGGCAGGAGATGGGGTGGGTGCAGTGGAAGGGGATGATGGTGACACGGCCTCTGAGGAGTGAAAGGACTGGCACTCCAGGCCTGGCATTGCTCCAGCAGGTAATGTTGGAGAATCATCCCCATCTCTCCCATCCTTACCCACATGCTTATTCTCAATTTATCAGGGCCTGCTGGGGGATTTGCTTCCCACCCCTCCCAGCCCATGTGGAAGCCCCAAAGCCCCCCCAGCAGATCCAGCCTCCTGCCTGTTCCCTTTCCCCACCACTGTTCCCAGCTGTGCTGCCATGGCCTCGAGCAATGAGCAGCTCCAGCCTTCCTGGGCAGGTCCTGGGGTCTCACCCGCAGCTTGGGGGGGACGTCAGAGTTCAGGAAAACTTGGCTGATGACCTCAAGTTTCTTTTTGAGAAAGGAACTATGCTTTTCTGACTGCATGTTGCAGGGTGTTGTAGCTTCCATGCAGTCAGCCAGCCTGGAAAACCTGCAAAGGCATGTGGGGTCTTGCTCTGAGACAAGTGCTCCTTAACTGCTAGGCTAGACAGTCCTGTTCTTGCTTAATTTGGTGTGGGAAATGGATTTGTAGAAAATTCTTAAATTCCTTTGGCCTTGCAAGAAAGACTAAGTACTTTGGAGAAATAAAACTGTGAAAGATGCATTGTAGTGGGACCCACAAGGAGTAATTTTAGATAATTGGCTTTAAGGCATTTACAGCATGGTGTGGCTAAAGCTGATAGGCCAAGAAACGCTGACAGTATATTGTTATTAAGAATTAGTTGGCATCTGATTATGATGGAGCGAATTATAACATCTGTATTGTCTCATCCTTCTCATGAGACTGAAAAAGGAATAAAAGTTTTTAAAACACCTCTCAGTTGCCCCATCTCTGGGTCAGAAAAGGGCTCAATCCGACAATTTGGTATTTGCTTGGCCAGAAAAAGCAATCCTCAACCCTCAATCGTCAATTCTCAAAGCAATCCCTTGGACCAGTGACACGGGAAGTATAAAAAGCCACCTCCCTCTTCTGCCACCCTCGTGGTCACAGGATTCCCCTGGGCAGGTGATGTTCCCTTTTTTGGGAAACTGAAAGATGGGGATTTTCCTGTTGTGGGGGTGCTGGCTGCAGGGCTGGTGCCCACTGGCCATGGATTGGTCTTAGAGGTTTGTCGGGTACATGGACAGAGTCAAGGGAGAAATGCCACCACAACTGGGACATCCAGAATGGTGTAGCCAAATGCTGAATCGCTTGGGACTACCAAACCAAAAGGATTTCAAACAGGAACCCTGATCCAGGGCGTGACTGCAGGCTGAAATGGGAGCTTTGGAGCCCCCCATCAGAGATGAGTTTGGGCCAGAGCCAAGGCAGGCTGGTGCCAAGGCCAAGTTGGACAGAGCTCTGAGCAACCTTGTCCAGAGGGACACATCCCTGCCCAAGGCACGGAGCTGGAAGGAGATGACCTTTAAGGTCCCTTCCAACCCAAACCATTCTGGGATTGTGTACCACGAGGTACCTGAGCACCTGTTGGAAGCAGAACTTACTTGTCTATCTCCAGGTAAAAGCGGAGGTCGTCGACGAGGAAGCTGACGATGATGAGCTGTTTGTCCAAAATGCGGCGTTTGACCAGCGTCACCTTCTGCACCTGCCCTTTGCCCTTGCCCTTGCCCTTGTCCTTGTGGGGGCTCTTGGCAGGACTTTTGCTCTTCTTCTCCTTGACAGGCAAATCTGAGGCAGGGGAAGAGGTTCTGTGTGCTGCTGTCCAGCTCTGGCTTTGTTCCTTCACCTCACCTGGGCTTCCCTTAGCTGCATGCAGTTTGCTGGGGCCTTTCTATCTCTGTGAGCTACACCTTCCCTCCAGCTGAGTGATCTCCTTCCCTCCTCTTTGTACCCAGAGTGTTTATGCCCATTGTTTCCATAGGGAATGGCCTGTTGCTAAAGCCTGCTGGTCTATCTAGCTGTTGGCCCTGGCTCTGACACAAGCAGATAATCAGTGAGAGTGAAAGGGAAAAAATCTGTTTCCCCCATATACAAAATTTTCTTAATCTAAATAGGGTTTCTGTGTGTTTAGTAGATTACTTTTCTAACTGCTTTTCCTGCCTCCTCTCAAACCTGTGTATAAACTTTCTGTTCAGGTCACCTCCCTGTTGCCCAGAAGACAATTTCCTTTTGTTTATTTTCCTGGCCTGTCTCACCTTAGCTCCATTTAGTGTTTCCTGTTTTGGGTGGTTGTTTTTTCGTTTTGTTTTGTTTTTTTTGAGGCAGGGATGCAAACTTGCATATACAACATTGCTTGAGAGAAATGCAACAGCATAACAAGGCACTAAGTCATGGTGGTGGGAGGTAAAGAAGAGGTTTTCTCCATTGTCTTCTCTATCTAAACCCGGGGGTGTCCTGGGGAGGGAGGAGCAGGGGTGGCAGGACACTGGACATACTTTCCCTCTTGTTTCTTCGCTCCTGACGGAGAAACTCCTCAAATTCTGCACGCCGTGTGTGATTCTTCATGTCCCTCTGGAACTTGCAGAAGCTCCTGACAAGCTCCCGGATGGCATCCCAGGCCCATCCCTGCAGGGACACAGCACAGGTGGCATCAGCCAGGACTGCAGCACTGGGGCTGAGCCCTCCTCTTTGGACCTACCACTGTGAGCTGGAGCAGCCTCGGCAGTGGGATTTGTGAGCCAGCCATCATCTCTGCTTTCCAGCATTTCTCAGTTTCCCTGGTGGCCACAGGGGATGGTGTGAATTGCTCAGCCAGTCCTGAGCCTGCAGGAGGGAGCCTTTCCCTGCTGCCTCTCTGTAGTTCACCCCCTCACCCCATTTATGTGGCATCCTTGTCTCACAGCACCTCCTCTCTTCCTTGCCTGGTGAACACCCTCAGCCTGGGAGCACACCGGGTCCTTCCTTACCATCCTTGGTGTCTTGAGGTCCTCTGGCCCTTCCTTCACAAGCCGAGGACGCCTAGACCTGGGCTTTTTGCTCCAGGGAAACAAATCCTCCTCCTGCTGCTGTTCCTTCCTCTTCTGCTTCTGTTTTTTCTGCTTCTCTTTCTTTTTATGCTTCTCTGTCTTTTTCTGCTTCTCTGTCTTTTTCTTCTTGTCTGTCTTTTTCTGCTTCTCTGTCTGTTTCTGCTTCTCTGTCTGTTTCTGCTTCTTCTTCTTCTTCTGATAGTAGGGTCCTTCCTCCTCTTCCTCATCCTCATCATCCTCATCATCTTCGTCATCCTCGTCCTCAAAGCTGCCAGATGGGAGAACAGAGAGAGCATCAGAGGCATGAGGAGGGCACTGGTTTGATGGAAGGGGGGCTCAGGTGGGGAGCAGCTGATAGGGGATAGCCCCAGGGTTGGGGTCCCACTGCATTTCTGGTCCTGGAGGAGGTTGGACAATGGTAGAGAACACTAGATACCCTCCCCCGGACTCTCTTCTTGCACGTGGTAGCCTTGGGAGTGTCTGTCCTGCTTATCTGCAGTGTTTCCTCCTCCAGACCAGCAGCCTGCAGGCCCAGAAGCCATTTGGTAGGTTTGGGGTGAGGCTCTGGATGGAATATCACTGCTGATGGGCCATAGAAAAATGCATTTATAGCAGTTGCTGTCTGGCCCCTTGGGGTGGGATGGATGTTGGGCAGGGTGCATTTGCATGACCGGGCTGAAGAAATCAGCTCAGCCCAGGTGCTCAGCATCATTTTTCCATTTGCTTTATATCCCCACGCAAGGACTCATGGCTGGAGTATTCCCAGGAGGTGAGATGTGAGTCCAGAGATTTAAGTATGGCTACAGTGTGATTTTAAGTGATCCTTCTGGGAATCTAAGCACTGCTCAGGTGGCATTCTGGGAGTTGACTGAGGATGAAGTGCACGAGATTTGCACAAGGTGTTAAGAGTAAATCTGAACTGGGGGTGGGGAGTGTTAATTTTTCTCCTCTCCCTGGTAATTCTACAGTTTAGACCCACAGCCCACCCTACATCTGAGAGGACCAAATGAGCAGTGGCACTACAGGGGAGCACTGGGAAGAACCTGAAAGGTTCTTTGCTCTGGAAGGAGCAAAGCGGTGTGCTGCGAGGTGCCAGACCTGCGTTTTCTAGCTGCCCTCTTCCTTGCAGCAGCAGCAGCATTCTCTCGAGCAATCCTCTCAGATGCAACAGCTGTGGGGACAGAAACAGGGCTGGCCTCTTCCTCGGGTGACAGCCAGAGGTGACAGCAGCCAGCTGCACCCTGGAGCCTCCACGTGGTGTCTCTGTGGTGACTCTGGCCCAGGAGATGCTGTGGGAGCTCTTCACTACGGGGATACTGGGACACAAAAGACACACGATGGACTTTGGACCTGGTTAGCTTAAGAGATTTGGTAACAGGATGCCTTGGCAAGAGCAAACAGAACTTAGAGGATTAAATCAAGATTGCAAGAAGATTCAATCAGACTGGTTTAGTGGAAAAAGAAAATGACATCAGACTTCTGCAAGCAAGAGATGTTTAAAATGTGTAAGTTTGTTTATACAAACTTTGATTTTTAACCCAATCATTGTCCTAAAACATTACTAGCCTTCCAAAAACAGTCTATAAGCATTTGTACTCCACAATAAAACTGGATTCTTTGACCACCTCACACTCTCCTCATCTCTCTCATCATCGCCGATGGTTCACCTCTCATGGTTTGACCTCCTCATCATCTCCTTCAGAGAAATCCCCCACTGCCACCCTCCCTGGCTGGGTTAATGCCCCAGAGCACAGCCTGTGGTGGGTGGATAGGCCTTTCCTTCTGGAGAAGCTCCCCAAGGGTGATGGATGTCTGGGAGCCCACCTGGCCTCTTGCCTGGACTCACCGAGTGCTGCGCTCATGAGCTGCAGAAGCTCCTCTTCCTTGCTTGGGCTGCCCACAGCCAGCTCATCTCCTATCATCCTCTGGAATTCTGCATCAGAGAGAGGAGAGGGGGCAGACCCCATGTCCATTGCCTCTGGTTACAACAGCCCTTCAGCACTGGCTCTGCAGGCTGGGTTTTGTCACCTTCCCTGTCCCCTTGTGTGTCCTGCTCCACAATCTACCCGTGACACTGCATTTCTTGGGTAAAACTGAGGGCCCACAAGCTACAGGGGTGCTACAGGTGACTGCTGTCACCCTCAGAGCAGCACAGGTGCCTAGAAAATGGGTGTCATTCCCAAAAGATTGCACGACAGAACAAAGCGGAGGGGTTACACCAGTAGCACCAGCATGGCCAGTCCCAGCATCCTCAGAAGGCCAAAATGTGGAACTGGGGTGGCAGGAGCCACTGCTGGCTTTGGGCTTCAGTCACTTTGCTGCAGCTTTCATTTGATCTGGTGAGCCAGGCCAGTGCAGGGATGTGGCATTTGGTGCCCCTGGTACTGGCAGGAGGGAATCTGGCCCTTGTCTAAAATCCTAGTGGACAGTTTTGACTGATTTTGACAGACAAAAAAAAGGCTGCCAAAGCTCTAATTACAAACGAAAGCTCCCAGACCCACTGCACCAACCCACCCCGTGATGTCCATCACCTGTTCAGGGCTACCACCAGAGCACAAAACATGTTTTACTGGCTTCAGCCAATGTGAGCCCCACCAGGAATGGAGAGCCCCCTCTTACCAGCGCTGCCCAGGAGCAGCTCCATCTCTGCCTGGATGGAACCCCCTTTCTGCAGGTCCTGAGCAGCAAGCAATTGCCAGTGCTTGGAGGAGACCCCCTCCAAGCTCCTTGTGCCATGCAAGGCCTGGCTCAGCTGCAGGGACTGGTTCATCCTCTGGGACAAGTGGAAATGTCCCCATCTGCCAGCAGCACGGCCTGGCACTTCAGCCATGGGGACATCCATGCCTGGAGCCTGCGGGGAGAACAGGGCAGGGTGATGGCACAGAGCACCTTCCCCGCCTCAGGTTTTAGCTTTTTATTGTTCAGATTCTGTGCTGCTTTAGTGTGTGGGTCTGGGCTTCATATGAGGGGATGGTGAGCTCTCTGCACAGAGCAGGGAGACAAAACAATTCCTTCTCCAGCTGGGGACCAAGGACAAATGATCCAAATCTCAGGCCCAAGAGCACAAACACTGTGGGCTGAAGAGAGAAAAACAAGAAGGATGGGACTTGATAGGCTAAAGCTGGAATTGGACAATTAACTCCAATATGCAAATGGAGCAGAACTTATAAAAGTGAGGGACCCCGTGACCAGTTGTCCATTTTGTGACCATTTTGGGTTGTGCTGCCCAAAGTGGATCCACTGAGGCCTCTTAATAAATCCCTACTTTGTTCTTTAGCTCCATCTAGTCTCTGTTCTAGCTCAGCCTGCATCACCCATGTGTTTTACTGCACCTCAGACCACAAACCTGCCCGGTTTAGGCCTCTGCCTGAGCTTTAAGTGGTCTGGAAGGAATCTGTAAGAGCACAAAGCTCAGCTCCAGCTGCCTGGGATGTACAGGCAGCCAGAGGCAGGCCAGACACGGCCTTTCAGCTTTCCTGAAGGGCTCAACTCCCCCCCAGGAGGGCTGGAAACAACCCCGAAGGTGTCCCCAGCAGCCTGGCAGCCTCGTGTGCTGTTTTTGTCGGCTGTTGTCACCGGGGCTGGCTCCAGCTGGTGCCCTGGGAGTGCCTCCCTCATTCCCCCAAACCTTCCTGCAGGTTTTGCCTCTCCCCAAAGACAAACAGTTTGCACAGCTCTGCAAGCAGCAGGGGTAGAGTGGCTGGTTTCTGGCTGGGAGCTGAGAGCAGGCACCAAAAATAACCCTGCTAAGCTGCCAGCAGCTCCCTGACACCGGAGCGGGAGCGCCGGGAGGAGTTTGGCTCAGGGGATGGTGCCCACAGAGAGCAGGGCCCGACCCTGCTGAAGTGCTAATTACACTCCCAGACCAGCTCTGGCCTCGGAGGGGAGATTTCCTCGACAAGAGGTGCTTAAAAACCTGGGCAGCTAATTAACTTCCCACTAAGAGCAGTTGGGAGCTGCCAGCTGACTTTTCCAAAATGCTCGGCTCTCCCTGGCTGAGGCTCTGGGAGCCAGGTCTTTGAGGACACCAAGCCCTGACAGCCTCTCCTTAACATTCCCAGGATCAGCTGCTGATTTTACATTTCTTTTTGGGAAAACAGTTGGTTTGAAGAACGCCATCTGCAGTGAGAAGAATTGCCTGCACAGGTTGTGCAGGTGGGATGCTCAGGGGGTTCTGCCTGCAAGGAGGTTTCTGGGTGTAATGATGGCATTTAGGGAGTTTTTATGGGATTTCTGATGCCAAGAGGAATAATAGTCTGGGAAGAGGGCTTGTGTGACTCTGATTTCGTATATAATTCTTTTTGGTGGGAAAAAAACAAAGTGGAAAACTTGAGGGTGGTTGAATCATAGGCTAAAAGGCTGCATGGCCTCTTCCCCCTGTGCTGGCCAGGCACTGGTGCTGGGGCAGGGTCATCCCATGTGTGTCATGCACATGAGTCACATTAATAGCAGTAATAATTACACATTAATAGCGTGGGCAAGGAAAAAAAGGGCAGATAAATTCCCAGAAGTGCTGGGCTCACCCGTGCCTACCCTAAAAGCCTGCAATTACGTTTCTCCTGGCTTTTAGGCAGGGTCACAGTTTGTCTCAGGGGAGCTCTCTCACAGGTTGTGCCTGCAGTGCTGCCAGCTGAATGGGATGCTGTGCTGGAAGAGCTGAGGATCATTGCTCCAGGCAGCTGGAGCAGGGTAGGATCTGCTGTGTCACCCTGTGGCAGCACTGGCTGGGGATATTGTGGGATGCCAGACCACTGCAGCTAATGCTGGGCTTCTCCTCCCTCCCTCTCTTTCTCTCCAACTTTTCACATCCCCACTGGAGCCTGCACACCCCCCAGGGGATGCCCCTGTGCATCCCCCTTACCATAAACTGGAGGAATGTCCTGTCATCAGCAGCCAGAAATTCCTCATAGAGGCCACAGAGCACCTGAGGAGGAGCAAAGGGGGATTGTCCTCAGGCAGGGTCACAGTGCTGGTGCCACGCGTGGCTCACAACTTGCTGACATGCCCAGGACACGCCTGCACATCCAGCTTGGTCCATGGGGCTGCCCAGAAGGGCTGGCGTTCTAAATGGGTTTTACCGGGGTTGTGCTGGAAGCAGTGATGGGTGCAAAAGGATGGCCACTGCCCTGTCATCCCCAGCCCCTGCAATGTGCACCCAGCCAGGGTCACCAGAGATGTTCAGTGGCTACCCAGCCCTGCTCTGCTGCCCAGAAAACCAGTGAGGATGCTCCTCTCCACTGGCCTGGCCCACTGCAAGGTGACTGCAAGTTATTCCCTTCCTAATCCCTTTTCCTCTTCTTTATCCAAATGATTCACTTCCTAAACATCCCCACAGCCCTCACACCACCACAGGGGTGCCAATGCCAGCTGTACCTCCCAGCCTGACTGCTGCCAGCACCCCTGTGTACCTTACAAATCTCTTTCTGGGCTCTGAATATCCAGGGGGAGAATTCTCCACATATCAGATGGTTCCACAAACTGACGAGAGTCCTGGTCTCCAAGGGGAGCTTCTCAATGCTGCTGTCCTCCAGGTAGGTCTTGCAGATCTTTTCCCCAATCAAATGGCGCAGGAAGAAGCTGTTTTCTCTGTTGGAGTCCAGCACCACGGGCAGAAACTCCTCCAGGTCTTGCCACAGATCCAGGAGATGAGTCTCCATGGGCCGGTTCTGGTGCTGCAAGAAATCTCTGAAGGGTCTTCCTGCACAGGCCTCGGCACTCAGAGCCCAGGGAAGGAAATCCAAGGTCTTGACTGGCTTTTTCAGGGATGGCAGCCGGGCAAGGGATGCAGAGGGAAGCAGGTCAGAGAGGATTTTCTCCTTACAGACGTTTTCTAGATCCTGCTCTGCACTGGACTGAGGTCTGCTAGGAAATGTTGCTCCTCCTCTGCCTCCAAAGGCAGGATGCTGTGACTGCTGGGGAATCGATCCCAGAGCATCCTTATCCAGACACAATTCCTCCCTACTCCCAGCTGGCTCTGGCTGCTTCTCTGCTTTCACCCGAAAAGTGGCCATTTTCAATTCTTGGGTGTCTCTGCCCTCCTTGACCAGAGCCCAGACCTCTGCTTTGGCCTTCTGGCTGCAGTAGGGCCCTGGCACACCCTGGCTCCTTTTGATGTGCATCGTGGGGAGGGGCTCTGAAGGGCCTGGGGGCTGCTGCCAGCCAGCCTGTGATAAACGTTCCTGATATTCCTGGAGCAAAGGCCAGCACGATTCCTCTTCCTCCATTCCCATCTTGCAGTGCACGAAGAATTTAGGGAGCCAGTAACTCTGAATCATAAAAAGGACCTGTTCCTGCATCTTGCTTAGGATCTCCCTCCTGGTGCTGATGGACTGGATGTGCCTGGCTTTCGGAAGAGATCCTGAGATGGATGCAGGGAATTATGACAGGGAGATGGCTTCGTGCAGGCTGTTCCCCAGACAGGGGATGGCATCCCATCCCCCTGGGAGCAGCCGGGAAAGATCCCCTCTCTGGAAGGGCAGTGCCCATCCCCAGCTCCAGTGTCTCTTACCCACGATGGTGGTGCAGAAGGTGATGACGCTGGAGCCCTCACGCAGGTGAGTGGCTCTCAGCCTGTGCACCAGGGACAAGAACAGCTCCCTCTGACTCTCATCTGACTCGTCCAGATCCAGGAGCCTTTCAGTGATGAGCCAGAAGTCGATCAGTTCTTCCCCTACAGATCAGACAGGGGATGGGAGCTGGGAGGAGCCCTTGACAGCCCCGAGGGTGGATGAAGCAGAACCGAGGGAACAGAGCAGAGAAAAGCCACGGCTGTGCATCTCCCTCCCAGCTCACCTGCTTTCTCTGGCATCTTACCCATGCCCCCAGCTCTGTGCCAGCCTCCTGCCAGGCAGGTGGCCCATGGCTGGCAGGGAGGGGGCTCTGGAGCATCCTGTGCCCACCTGCTGTCCCTCGGAGGAAGGCGCAGAAGTGCCGCATGCCCTGTGTCCCGCCGATGCACCTCTCCAGCAGCCACTGGTCAGCACTCTGCCAGTTCAGGAGCTCTGCTGTGGGACACAGAGCACAGATGGCATCGGGGCTGCCGGCCAGAGCCCAAGGGAACTCTCCAGCTCCCACCCTGAAAGAGGCTGCTGGAGGGAGACCAGCAAATCACCCTGAACTGGGAGTTTTGGACAGGCTGCGGGATGCACACGGGGTGTTTGCAAGGATAACTCGCTCCTGTCAGGGACAGCTTGTCCTGCTCTTGTGCCTCTCTTCCTTACAAATGCCCACCTTTGCTGTCCTGAGTTTGGGGCTCACCCTCAGCTTCCTCCAGCTTTGAGTTTCAACCCGACTGGAGAAGCAGCAGCAATATACTCAGGAAAAGCCTTGGTGAATTGTTTTTTTCCTCAAGTGAGAATCTGTATTCCTGCTGCCAGAGCTTTCTTTCCAGTGGCAGCTGACACGCGGGCTGAGGAAGAACCTGGCTGGACTGAGAAGGCTCATTTTAGGGGCAAAGCGAGCAAAACCTCGAGTTGTTGCCAGTAAGAGAGACCACAGCCTGTTTTCCCAGGGCATCCCTGCCCAGCAGCAAACCCAAAACATCGGCACCTCGCCTCCCCGTGCCCCTCGATGCTCTCCAGCCCCGCTCCACCCCTCGCTGTTCCCTGCTAGGCAGGTACTTAGCCAGCCTGCATTAACAGCGTGGTGGGGTAAATCCCTGCACATCCCGCCAGAACCTTCTGCACCCCTAAAAATGGGATGTGCAACGCCTCGTTAGCCCGGAGCAGAGGCACGACCCAGTGGGCAGGCAGCCGGCAGTGCCAGCCCCGCAGAGGAGGAGAAGCCGATCCGATTTCCTCCGTGCCGCGATGACTCACCTGCTTCCCCCGAGCGAATGAAACCCAGCAGCTTCTGGCAGAGCACCAGGTGCAGGCACAGGCTGGATTTGCAGAAGTGAGGCAGCCGCTGCTTTTCCAACCAAGCCAGTAAAGCCGCGGGGCTGGCATCCTGCGTTGCCCAAGGGGAGGATTAGCTGCGAGCAAGGAGCCGGCTCCTGCCTGGCCTTTAGGGTGAGTAACACCTCCCTGCTCCAGGGCAGGAGGTGGGGAAGGCGCCCTGTTGCTTTATGGCGATGGTGGCACAAGGAGGATTCTCAAGTTACAGCCGCTGCCTGTCCCCAAGACGAGCGTGGCAGCCGCACGGCTGCCTGCGGGGCTGCCTTCCCCTTCCTCGCCCGCCTTCCCAGAGCCTTCCCAGCTCCCCGGAGGAGCGGGGGGTTCCTTTTTGCTTTGGGATCTGAGCGCTGCAAGCGGCTGTGGGGAACGGGGACGGGTGGGGAGGGAGGGCTGAGCCAGCCCGGTGACCAACAGGGCTTGGCTCCTGTTGAATTCAGGAGGAATCCAGGACAAGGGGCTGATGTTTGTGTCCTTCTGTGCCGCCACACATGCTCTCCTTCGCTCCAGCTCTCGGTGTTTATAGATAGACCCCATAAACTGCAGCAGGACTTTAAATGGATCGTGCTCCGCCCAGGGTTTAAAAGCGAAACGACGGCCGGGGTTGAAAGGATGGCTCAGCTGCACGGGCAGGAGAGCCAGAGAGGGGCCCTGGCAGTGACAAACCGGCTCCTGCCCTGCCCTGTGCCCTTCCTCCCTCTTCCTCCCACTCCTCCTTTCTAACAAGGGGCATGCTCTCACCAGGTGGCTCGGCAGCTCTGGCCACAGGCACCACCGGCCCGTGCCGCTGATGTAAAGGGGTGTCTGCCCAAAAACCTGGATCAAAACGGAAAGGGACAGCTGAAAGAGGCAGAAGAGCCCGGAGCCCGGTGCTCTAGTTAGTTCCCACTACGCAGAAAGGCATAAAATTCCCTTTTAGACCCCTTATCTCCAAGTTGAGATCCTCAGGTTTCCCTCATTTTCCAGCCTGAATGTGGTGAACTCCCAGTCTTCCTGTGGCTTCTAATGCCACACAAAGTTCACCTGAGGAGAGCTCTGAAAAGCTTCAGGTTTTATGGTGCAGAGTGCACTTACAGGAAGGTTCAGAAAGATGTTGAAAAAGTCAACAAAAACATCATCTTGCAGCAGCAGCCCTATGTCCGTGGAGGCTATGGATGCTACAGGGGGAGAAGAGAAAGTTACCTGGGCTTTTTGTTGCCAGCTGTGAGCAAGAGGAGGAGTTTTGGGGGGGAATCAGCTTTAGGGGATGTGTGGTAAAAGCTTGTCCTGTGCTCATGCAGGGGGAGGATTTGGAGCTGGGACAGTGTGTGAAATGTGTTTGGGGAGGGGTGGCACAGGCTGTTTGGAAAGCACCAGGTCCAGGGGCGTGCAGGAGCTGGGGAGTTTGAATGGCAGCCTCCCAAACAGCAAAGGTTCACAGAGGCTGGGCACAAATGCGGTGGCATCCATAGGGCAGGAGAAGGGAGGTGGCTGCAGGGCACAGGCTGTGCTCCTCTGCCTCACCCAGACACTGGGCATAACACAGCTTATCCACCCAGGACTCAGTGCAAGTGTCAGTGGCCAACACCTCCCACCACCCTGCAAAGTTTTATTCATGTCTGGAAGAATCTGGAAGCAAGAAGGTGGGCTGGCATCAGCCCCCTCGTGGGGGTGCCCCTGGAAATGCCCTCTTCCATCAAGGCACAGTTGTGTTACAGGGAGGACCTATATTTCAAAGCTTAACACTGCTTTTCCCCCCATTTTTCCACCTTTTGGGGTGTGCTTAGAGGGGCTGAAGCCCCCAGCAAAGGGGAACTCACCAGCAGTCATCATGGTGGTGCAGTGTTCCGGTGCTGGGTTCCGAAGTGCCACCCTGATTGTGACACGCTTGTTTGGGTGACTCCTGGGGGTCTTGGGGACCACGGGGCTCTCAGCAGCTCCCTCCAGGCCTGCTTAGCCTGCAGAGGAGAGTACTGAGAGAGGATCTGAAAGAGGGGATGTCCAGAAGGTGGAAGCCAGGCTGTTCTCAGGGGTGCCGAGCAATGGGATGAGCAGAAATTGGAACAGAGGAATTCCCACCTGAACATGAGAAAAAACGTTTTCACTGTGATGGTAACTGAGCACTGGAACCTCTCTGCCCTGAGAGCTTGTGGATTCCCCCTTAGTGGAGATATTCAAGAACCATCTGGGCACAATCCTCAGTACTGAGCTCAGGGGACTCTGCTTGAGCTGAGGTGTTGGTCCAGGTCGTCCCTTCTGACCTTACCCATCCTGTGATGCTGTGAAATGTCACTTTTTAAATTGCCAGCCCTGCAGACACACTTGGGCAGTCCTGAAATTAAACCCTATTGTATTTGTTGGGAAACTGCTCCGACGAAGGCAGGAAGGATGCATTTGATTCTATGTTTTTAGAAGGTTAATTTATTACTTTATGATACTATATTATATTAAAGAATACTGTACTAAACTAAAGGATATAGAAAAAGATCCTTACTGAATGCTAAAAAGATAACAATGAAAACTCGTGACTTTTTAGAGTCTCGACACAGCTTGACCCTGATTGACTAATGAGTTAAAACAACTTATACTGGAGACTAATGAAATAATCACCTGTGGGAAAACAATTTGCAAACACATTCTACACATGAGCACAACACAGGAGAAGCAAATAAAATAAGAATTGGGGGTGTTTTTTGTTTGGTTTTTTTTTTTTTTCTGAAACTTCTTAGCTTATCCAAGAGAAAAATCTTAAACAAAAGAATTTTTTTCAGAGAATGTAAATGCCACAAAACTCTTCCCCTCTCCCTGCTGGGGAAACTTCTTGCCTTCAGAGCAGGTTCCTGGTGGCACCTCAGCGCTGGGTGTGGTCGCTGTCAGTCCATCTGCTCAGCTCGGGATGGGAATTTCACAGGAGACCCCACTGTGTCTGCCCCAAACAGACCAAGCCCACATTTTTTATCTGCTTTCTTCACCAGATCTGGGGCTGAGACCCAACCTTGGAGACCTTCCAGCTGGAGGAGGAGAAGGAGGTGAAAAAGAAGGAGCCCGTCCTGCAGCAGGAGTGACCTGTTCCCTTGGCAGGAGGAGGAACCTGCTCCCCAGGTGGGTGTTTGATCCTGCTCTGGTCTTTGTGCCAGACCTGGGGGCAGGACAGTGTCCCAGAGTGTCCCAGCAGCGGGGCCACCTCACGAGGTGGCGCTGTCAAACCAGGAATGCGAAGCTGTTCCCAGAGCAGCAGCAGGGCTCTGCATCTCAGACAGCGCCAGGGAGTACGGGACAGCTCCGAGCTGACTGCGGGGCTGGTCACTGTGCCAAAACCCACACTGATGTGGGGAAGGGGCAGCTGTGAGCTACAAAACGCCTGCTCGTCCCAGCGGTGGCAGGCAGAGCTGTGGGAAGGAGTTTTGGAGCACCCTGGGGAGGAGCAGCTCCCATCATGGATCCATAAAGATTTCTGTGGCTGAGCCCAAGAGATGAGAGGGAGGGGAAAGGAATGAACTGGAGTGGTGGCTGTCTCACACCTGAAATCCTCAGAGAAAGGTCAAAACTTAAAAAAAAATAACACATTTTCCAGTTGGCAACTGAGCAGATGCCCAGTAGGATCCTCAGGGGCTGGGGTGGCTCCTTGGGTGCTCATCCAGCTCTGGACTGGCCTCAGTGGGAGTGTGATGGCTTCTGCCAGGAAAAAAAAATAAGGTTGTGAGCAGGAATTGGCCAACATGGTCACTGTGGGAGAGCACAGGGCCATTTCCATGGAGTTTTTCCCCAAGAGGGGACCCCAAGAGGTCTGGCAGGATGGAGCTCTCCTCCCCTGGCTGCAGCTTCCCAGGTTTTCCCAGGGCACATGGTCTCCTCACAAGAGGAGCTCACGTGAGCTGGGTGGCTATTTAGGCAAAAAACCAAAAAAAACTGAAAAAAATAAGCGGACACAGGAGCAGAGCCCAGATTTAGAAGGAAGCTCGGAGTGGCTGGACTCCATAAAAAGATAAGGTTCAGGGTTGCAACATCAAACACGTCAGGAGGGCTTCTCTGCCCCTCTGCCCCAGCCCAAATCACCCACCCTGACGTGGGGAGCAGCCCTGAGGTGATGAGGGGCAGAGCCTCATGTTCCCAGAGGGGATGGGCTGGGGTTTTTCTCCTTGCCCAACATCAGCTGGCACTGCTCCCCAGCGTGGCAAAGTCCAAGGCTGCCCAAACACAGTGTCAGCCTCGCTGCCTGGGGTCACTGGCCACTCACAGCCCCCCCAGCAGCCCAGCCTGGCCCGTTTGGTGCCATCAGGAGGGTGGGGGGTGTTTCCCACACACCCCGAACATCTCAGCATTGCTGCTGGCTCGGGGTGATGGTCTGGAGAGGCAGAAATCTGGGGAACTCCAGCCTGAGTGCACAAACCTGCTCTCCCCTCTTGCATAAGTATATAAGTATATCCCCACCATGTGCTTTTGGGGGAAGATTTGGGGGTGAAAAAATCCCAAATTTTCATCCCTCTTTTCATATAAATAGTTTATAGGACATTGGGCCCACAGCACCTTAAAAAGTGGAGTTGCCCAAGGCTGAGGAATTCCAGCTCAGCCTTAAATATTAATTTCTTTCTTGAACACACTACAGTGATTTTTCACATGTGACTTCCATGCTCAGTCCCCTGAGCGTGTAAGATCTGTTTGCTCAGCAAGCACACCACTGGTGTTTCCTTGGGGAGTATTTTTGAGCCTGTTGTCATCTGTCTGTGGTTTCCTTGCTTGGGACTGTCCCTTACAGCTGACAGCCCCTGTGGCAGGCTCTGCCTTCACTTGTCTCCCCTCCAGCTGAAGCAGAACCACTGGTGTAACCTTACCCCAGCCTCTGGGGCTGTTGACTTCAGCAGCCTGGGCTAAGTATGTGTTGTGGCAGGACAGGGACCTAACTCAGCCACGAGGGAGGGACATGGGCAGCGGCACTTTGCTGTTATAATTAATAATTTCTAATTTTTATAATTAATATTAATTTTTAAATTTTTTATTTTATTTTATAATTTGCAATGTCAGGCCCAGATTCACCACTTCATCCTCTCAGGCAGCAGTTTGAGGATTTCTGCCCTCTCACTTACGGAGATGTGAGGTGTGTTAGGCTGAAATTAACGTGCCAGCCACAGCTAACGCAGCCCCAACCTGGCTGGGAGCGCTTTTAAACGGTGTGAACTGAAAATGAGGGGGGAAAAAACCCCAACAAAAACAACCCTGCACAGCGTAACCAATTTCCAACGGCGGGGAAAGGCATGTGCCGAGCGCTCCCTGGGATATTCTCCACCCTTGTACAGAACGAACTGAGCCAAGCAATTTCTGGGTCTCAAATCCCGCCTGCCCCTGACGTTCTCATCTTCCAGCTTCCCCCCAGCCCTGCTGAAGGAAAGGGGAAGTGCTCGGGGAAGGTGCTCGGCCCCCGGGCGAGCTCTGCGGAGCACAGCAGGTAGGGGCTGCCTGCCGGGAATGCCCCTGGATCCGGGCAGGGGGCTGCTGGGGCATGGGGCAGTGCCATGGCTCCTGGGAGGGTGCCAAGCCAGCCGTGGGCACGGGGACAGGTGGCTCAGAAAGGGGTGGGGAGGGAGGTGGCTGTAGGAATGTGCTTCTTGTTGACGGAGTGACAAAACTATTTTTTGTCTTTTTAAAAAGGAAAAAAAGCTTAGAAGTGTTTTTTTTTTTTTTTTTTTTTTTTTTTTTTTTTTTAAGTGTTGGAAACAAAAAAGTTTTAATAAAAGGCAAAATAACAAAGCTCTTTACAGACAAAACCCAAGCCAGGTGCAAGAGGTTCTTGCTCCTGGTAAAACACCCCACAAAAGCAATTAGTTCCTTTGCTCTCTTCTTTTTCTAGTGAATTGCTTAGGCAAGACTTTTTTGGCTCCTGTCCAATTGGCTATCCTTAAGTTTGAAGTGAAGTCCCCAAAGTCCTATGAGGTGTCTTTTTACCTAATTGAAGAAAGAACCTGCTGGCAGCACCTGGGCTGTCCTGGGGGCCGTGCCCCAAGGTCCCTCTTCCCTCTGTGCGTGGTCCAGGGAGCTGAATGGGGAGGGAGGGTTTTTTTTAAATCATTCTGCGTGTGCCTCTGCAAGTTTGCACTGATTAATTTGCTTTCCTAAACTGCCCTTTAGCGCAGCCCAGGTGATCTGCTCTGGAAAGGCTGAAAGCTCTCTGGCCACCAGCCCACGGCCACCCTTGACCCTGGCAGCATCTTCAAAGGGAGCATGGGGCTGCTGCGGAGCGTGCAATGTTTGCTCACAGCCAGGGCCAGCAGCTGCTGCCTGCCTGCCTTGGGGGGTTTCGTCAGCCTCCTGCAGCGCTCCGGGGGACACCGCTCGGCCACTGCTGCTTGCACAAGGTCAGTCCCCCCAGGGCCCTCATCCCCCACACCCCAGGGCGAGCTCCCCAGGCTCAGTCACTTCTGAGCTGAGTGCTTGCTCGGGTGTTAGGTTGGTTTTTCCAGCCCTGGGTGAAACGTGCTGCATCGCCAGGTGTGCCAGCCTGGGAGCACCTCGGGAGGCCACCAGCAGCTGCTGTCATGGGTCCAGGCAGAGGCGGCTGTGCCCAGGGGTGGGCAGGGATGGAGGTGATGCAACATCAGGACAGGCAGCCCATGGCTGAGGTCACTTGGGTGCAGTTCAGTTCCTCATGCAAGGCCTTCCAGCACAAAGCACTTCCCAGGATGCATCTGAAAGTGGTATAGCTCACAAAATTCACAGAGTCACAGAATGACTGGGTTGGAAGAGACCTCCAAGATCATCGAGTCCAACCCAGCCCCAGCACCTCAACTAAACCCTGGCACCCAGTGCCACATCCAGGCTTTGTTAAACACACCCAGGGA